ACTAAGCAAAAGCTCTCAAAAAGATTATATCAACACCAATATGATTGTCGAATTATTAACATTGATAAAAAAGAAAAAACGGCATTGGCGACTCATCATTTTGAGAGTGACCATCATTTTGATTTCAACAATCCATCCGTGTGTATAAGAGAGGAAAACTGGAAAAAGCGAAAAATTCTTGAATGTTGTTTATAAATAAATATAAAAGTCAGGCAGTTAACTATAAAACTGATACTAATAATTCAAGCGCCATCTATTGTAATGTGATCAATTTATAATTTGTTGCTATCTTTATAAATAATAGCTAAATTATTATAGCCAATAATAACAATTTTTGAATCTTCTCGTTAGGTGTCACTGTGTTGACTGATAGTAATTATTTTGTCATTGTTTTGCTTATATCTCTGTAATCGTAATCACTTGTCCTTTTAATTTTTCTATTTTATTTTTTTTATTTTTATATTTTTGTTGTTTTACTGTCTTTTTACAATTTTATCAATGTATTGTGATATTGTTAGGTGCAATCCAGTGTTCCATCCTGAAAATCTCGCACTATTTTGATGTTCCTAATATATATTTTAGCCCTGGTGAAGCCCTAAACTTTTGGGCGAAACGTTGGCAAAGACTTAATAGGCCTTTTATTTTTTGTCCTAACCGACGAATCACCCCCCTTCATTGGAAACCGATAGGACACGAACTTCTTTAATAAAAGTTATTTTTTGAGACAAGCTTATTACAAGTTCTGGTTAAGGATGTTCTAAAACTATGTTGTTTCAAGTTTTGTTATTCTCAAGGCCTCAAAATATGACATTTTTCCGGTTTGATCCATTAAATTTTGAAAATTTGTTGTGATTACCCTGTATCATATTGGAAAAATTAGTAGGTACATTTGGGTTTTAGACCATTCTAAACAAGAATCTGCTATCAGATTTTTCTAAAAAAATCCCTAATAGTACTTATTGAAATTTGAGCCTATAAATGTGGACACCCTATACACCAGTACAGCCGCAAAAATAAAATTATGAGCCTAATAAGTGCCAAATTTGAGTAGACATAAGACAAAAAAAAATTAATTGCATCGGTTGAAAAATAAAAATTTTAGAAGGGTGGTCAGTCCTTAAGCGGGACACACTGTATAATAAGTTATTGTTCAAGTACAAATAAGTGGATTGTTGCGGAACTTATGGGTGGACCTCTGCGGGACGAGCGCAGCGAGTTCCGCAGCCATCTTATCACCAATCAATATACTGTTAAAGTGTTCAAGTAAGACATTCACCTGAAACGTGTAATTATTAAACTAATGAAAATAACGCACATTTGAGTGAGTCAGTTTAGTATCGTAATTAAACAACATATTGATGAATAGATGGCTTCATTAAAGACCCTTTAGATGACCCGACAGTACCAGTACCTACATCCTACAATAATTGAATGGTGAACGCTGCTAAATTCTCAGCATGTCTTGTGGTAGACAGGATTCTATTAAAGGGAACAGCATAACTGCATATGTATCGGAAGTGATGCCAAGAGTATCAAGTGCCCTTGATTGTGTTTCAATTTGATCGTATAACTTATTAGAAACTAGCTAATGACCCGCTGCGTTGCCAGCATGTAAATACATTTTGAAATAATACACTTCTTTTCAAATTTTGTTGTTGATTTTCTATTTAATTTTTTTAAAAATCCGATATCATAGTCGCTTGCCAGTGAGTTCAGTGACGCATTTTAAGCACTCCAGAGCTGCTCTAGAGCGCCCCAGGCTGTTTATAGGCGTTCCAGTGTATCAGAGTTTTACGCAACCGAACTTTTTTTTTCGGGAGAAAAAATAGCTTATATCACTCTCCTCTATAGCCGATTCGATTGACCGGATTAGATCGATCTGGTTCAATTTAAATGAACCACACTGTGTTCGATTCAAGCTGGATCAGTGCACCCTCATCAACAAAAAAATGATCTAGATCAGAAGAAGTTCACTTAAATTGAACCCAAATCGATCTAATCTGGGTCAATCGAATTCACCTTATATAGAGATACGTGGTATTAATTCAAGATCGGTCCAGCCGTTCTTGAATTCAAAATATAATAAAGTTACGTCGGTTGAATGCAAGCCTAAATAAATGAAATATGGGAACGTTGTTTCGTGCTGTCAAAAAAAGTTGGGTTATGTTGTTATGTAAGTTGAATGAGTTTGTTTACAATTAAATTAATAAATAATTCAAAATTAATTTCTTTTTCCGAGATGCGTAACTTATCCACAAACCTTCCTTGGGATGGCCATAACAACCTACCAAAGTTTCATCGTAATCGGATAAGTGGTTTTGGAGCGCATATCCGGATACCCCGTGAACTTTGATTTTTATATATATAGATATCTACTTTTTGACTGGCAATAGCGTTATTCAAAACAAATTTTAAAAGCTCTGTCACATACACCTCAATTTGCAAATCCTCTCTTCCAAATCTAGCTTTCATGCAATTAATAATTTTTTCATAATTTTCTCCGACTGTAGGAAAACTTTCTACAAGTTGGCGCGCTCTACTGCCAAGGATGGTAGTTTGTAATAAGTATTCGATTTTATCGCTATCATCTATGTCAGCGTCTTTATGAATTTTATTAAATTGTGAACAGAACACTAACCAAGCCCTTATATTGCCATCAAAATGTTTAAATTCAATTTGCAGTAATTTAAATTTGCGCTTACCTGTAGTAATACCGTAACTTAACTGTTCACAGTTTCTCAATGAATTTTTTTGCCACTGAAGCAACATCTTCTGCGGGCCTTATAGTACAGTAAATAGAGACAAATAAATCGCATTTACTAAAAAAAAATACTTAATGGCTGAAATTTTGAGGCTGTGTTCGGGGGCATGTCCTGAGTCTAAAACTGAGTTTTCGTATTCGAGGGGGTGGGAGAAGATACTACCCCCTCTTTATGTAGGGTTGAGTTCGTTTCAATTCCTTATCTTCGGTGCTATTGCCCGTACCGTCAAGTCCGAGAGATCAAATTTGTGGGAAATAAAATTATCCATCTAATTATAATAAAATCAAGGTCATAGGACGATTAGGTGAATCACAATGGCCGGTCAAAGGTCAAAAGTGGGGGGTAGTTTTTGATGGTTTTTCGTGAATCCCGTGAAACCGGTAGGTTTTTCCGCATACTGCTTCGATACCATTTCGAAGTACTTGAAATTACCTACAAAATCCCACTTCATCTGCCGCTTAGTTTAGTTCACCAATGAGTTCTTTATGGGGTATATTTTCACAGTTATTATTATTAACATTTTAATGATTTAGTTGCAGTTTTGGCTGCATTCAGCCTACAATAATCAATTTCTCCAGACTTTTCCTTATCATATTGGTTCAATTATCGCTAAATTAGTGACACTTATTCAAGAAGTTTAAACATACCTAGTTTTATTTTGAAATTATTTCATTTAAACATATTTAAGCCAACATGCTTTCACACAATCTGAATTTTTTCTAGAACTTGAGAAAATAATAACATCAACATGAATGAGTAAATATGGATCCTGGATCGCTGAAAGCCCAGCCTTATTTGATTATCATTAAACAAATAATTCCAGCATTTTGGGGTATAATGCCTTTTGTAGCTCAGAACCCAATTTCAGATATTTACTCATTCTTAGCCCATCTAGCAGTTCCACATAAACTGCATGCGATTACCTACTTGCCATTCTGGCGATAGGGGCATGAACATCATCGTTCAAGACACTATGTTCAAACCTAAGAGTATCTAGTCTGGTAGGTATTCTTTTTTCCTTCACAAATCCCCATTACCAATTTTTTCATCAGATACCCACTTCGAATCCATAATTTCTTCATCTCCTGACTTTTCTGCTAGTTCCCGTGTTTTAGAGTCTTCCAAGACTCTGATTTCCACTTCAGCTGCATCTCTCCATCCTTGATCAATTGTAGCTTCTGAACAGGATTGTAGCACATCCGACATAAAATTTCCTATTGATAGTGCAGCAAAAAAAAAATACCATCGTCTAATCTGGATTTGAATCTTATATACTCGTTAAGATATCTGGGTATCCGAAGATCTCTTACACATTTTTTCCTTTTCGATAATCCTTCATTTCGCTTATTTACTTGTTCTACACTTATGTTTTTGTTCATTGCATCTATTTTATTTGTTTCTCTTATGGTATTTTCTGGTTCAGGTTTTTTTTTCGTCTTGCTCTTGGACATTTTCAATAATACAAATATCTGGTATTTGGTACCTATCATTGCATTATTTATTTTCCCATCAAATATTAAAGTTCGCCTATGAATTATATTTCGAATATATTTTCCCAAGTCGATATCCATTATCAGCATAACCAATCATAATTAGATCTTCATTACGTAGGTACTTACATGCAATTTAGATTTTTTAATCCCTTTTCAGATAAGCTCACTCAAATAGTCGTTTCATATCCAAATTTACTCTTTCAACAACCGAAGTTTCAGGCGGTTGGTAGGTACTTCCGGTCTTTTGAATCTAGTTTTTCTCCTGCTATTCAAATAAATTTTTGTTCTCGGAACTCGACAAGCAACAATTCTTTTATTGCATTCTTCCTTATAGAATCATAATCTTTCTTCCAAGAACCGATAACTTTTTTTTTCAATTAACATTCTACTATGTAAGTATTTCCATTGTTACAAGGACGACTGGTACCAATAATGCTAATAATATAAAATCACACACATACATATAGGAATATTTAACTTAAACAATACTTTCTTTTGTGGTAACACTTATTAATTTATTCAAGCGATATGTCACTGGAGGAAACACATAATGCATTATGTAATAAAAAATTATCATTAAAATAGGTGGGATTATATCAATTAGAATCTTTCTCAGGAAAATATTCTTCTAATAGATTAATAGAATATCTATTTGTAGGTCATTCACGCCCAAGCCTATATTATGTATAATTATTCGTCCTAAATACGAGCAAGGTAAATAAATTATCTAATTAAAATTTTTCAGAGGTCTTCCAATTCGATTGTCCCAAGGTGAACGAATCTGAAGCTGCGACCCACCCAAGGTACGCGGACCCTGAAGACTGTCAGTTCTTCTATGTTTGTATTAATGGAGACACTCCTAGAAGAAACGGGTGTAAGCTTGGACAAGTATTCGACGAAGGGAGCAAGAGATGCGATTGGGCCAAAAACGTACCAGAATGGTAAAAATCCGACTAAATTAGTGATATTTGGGAATTTATTTATTCTTTTTCAGTGCTGATTGGTACAAAGGCCGTTTAACTGAGCAACAACTTAAAGACTTAGAAGACCCTCCAACCCCTAAACCCAAAGTAACTAAAATTTCCAAAAGGAGGAACCGACCACGTCCAACACCAGTAGATGAAGAACTAGTTAGATGAAGAAAATAAATATTTCTAATCTAATTTACTGTAATTTAAGTTTTTAAATAAAAGTCTGTTCTAAGACAAGAAGTTGTTGGCGTTTAATATGTTTGAACTGCTTGTGATAAGCTCGCTTCTCGTTAAAGCTCTAACTAGGAGAAAAGCTATTGAGGATTATGAGCTTTTTATAGAAAAATAATATAAAAACGGCAATAATCGTTTAACGCGAATAAATTTCCATATGCAATTTGAATGCAACAAGAAAAGCCCTGCCTCCCCCAGCTTAATAAAATATTTTGTTAAATGTACTCGGCCGTCTCTACTTATACCTTTCTCTGTCGTTCAAATTGGGTCTATCTTTCCTTCTCCATCGTTTAAAATAAAGTTATGGAAATGTGACATTGGATCTAACTCTTTGATGATTATTCTCTCAGATAACCATTGAGTATTGAGTAAAGAAATAGACAAGTTATTTTTTTTAAAATACCTATCGATTGGTAGTATTCCATTTAAAATTTCTAAAATATTTAGACCATAGAATGACCTACATTTTTTAGACATTTTGTCAATTATCTGCAAATTATAAACTAGCAGTAGCAGTTTCGATTTTGAAAAATTGTCTACTCAAAATAATACCGCACGAATCCAGGTGCCCCACACAATAGGTTCGGTTGATAGTGGAGTTCCAAATGCTCCTTGTGAAACTGCATTCTAAATAGAGCCTTTAGCACTTAAATTTTTGTTTTTCACATTAGCTATTAGGTCATTGAAAATCGGAAAGAAAGCTCTAATAATCCTAAATATCCTGAGAATCATATTTTCATAAAATTCATATAAAATCATGTTCAGCATTCAAGGCGCAGCCTAGAATAACGGCGGAAGAGTTTTAAATCTGCAGGGTGAATTTGACAGAAAAGTGATTTGTTAATGGTAATGTTTCTTGTATAAAACTGGTATAGTTTATACGAAGTCAATCCGGATAGGATAAAAACTGTGTAGGCGGCATCTCCTTATGAAATTAAGCATATTCGTGCAACAGCCTAGGAATTCCCAAGAACGAAGAATTCTAATTCTAATTCCTAGGCTGTTGGGCGCATATGCATGATTTTATGTATAAGAAGATGCCGCCTACACAGACTTCGTATAAACTATAACTAGGTATAAGTACAGTAGGTAGCTGTTTGTTTTTTTTTAGTTTCTTCTAGCTATAGGACTGGCTTTATCATGTTCTTCTCCGGTTAGTTTACCGTTTGCCAACCATTAAATCAGCTATGTGAAAATTTTCTTAATTTTTGTAATTTTTATTTGAAATGAAGTGATAGATTTACACCATGAAGGTACAGTGTGTTTCATTTTCTTTGATAACATTAAACCCAGATGTAACATGCAAAATGCAAAATGGTAGTACACCTAAATAAAATGATATAGCAAAGTTAATGAATACCTAGGTATATTATAATATGATGCATGAATATGACATATATTTTTTTAGTTTTGCAACACATTGTTGTGAAATTACATTAGTGTGGAAAAGCCAACGACCGGTGCGGGAATAATCAGGAATTTATTTCCATTGTGTGCTTTAAATAAAAAAGCATTCACGAGAATGGGCTATTTCGCTAATTTCTGAAATTGGTATATAATTGGATAAAACTAAAAATTGAATTTTCTGCAACCTTACTTTTGGAAAACCTTTTTTTTAAATTAATTAGTCATGGATTCATGATTTTATAATATAAAGGATATTTACGTACTACCTAACAAAAAATTACGGACGACGAAGCGAATAGGGTTTGGTGTTATCAGAAAGAAAAAGATTAGTCAGTCCTGTTCTGCTGGTGGTGATCAGTCGATTTAGAAATAGCGATATTGTTTTACTTTGTGGCAAATATAAGTTAATAAAATAAAAAAAAGTCGCGTGCAGCACAGTTGTAACGCTCTTTTGTCGAAACAAAAGAATGTTCATAATTTGTGCGCGACTATTGCTCAGTGGTTGTTAAGCTTGGGGTGGTACAGTAGAGAGAGGGCGCCACTAGTTTGTATAAATAATTTTGATTACCAAGGAATAGCCAAACTAGGCACTATTCCATTAATTAGTTATTGTTTAAAAAGATAAATTCAAAAAAATCTGAAAAGGTAAAATAAATCCAAAATCCAATAGCTATCTGACATTCAACCCATTCAATAAAAACACAAGCCTCAATAGATACCTATGAAGAAATTTACCTAAGTATAAATGATGAAGTCCTAATACCATTAACCTTCAATTTTTGACTAAAGTCAATCAAATCAATAAAATCAAATTTATAAATGCATAAAGGTAATAAGTAATCCCTAGGGAGTTATAAATTCCAAAACCCATAATCAAAAGTATCGGGAAGAGCTCTACCGTCTTACCTGTAATTAAAATTCAAAATATGTAACCATGAAACTCAAATTCAACTACCTAAAGATTTTACATTGATTTACCTTGTAGAATTACCACCTTATTGATTTGAAATTAAAGGTTAAATTAACCTCTAAAAGTTAATTAATATTATATCGATCAGTATTCGATACAAAAGAAACAAATTTGTGACAATTACAAGAATCCATAATCATTGGATACCAGATAATGACACCGAAAACGATAATAAAGGTAATTATCTGATTATGATAATAATTCATTAATCAATTGAAAATTATATAAGTAAAACTGTAGTTAGCTATTCCAGCCAAACACCACAATACGGCAAACAAGTCGGTAAATGATCTTATAGTCATTAATTAGCTAATTAAGCTAATCGATAGTGAGCGATAAAGAAAAAAAATAATAATAATTAACAGTTATTAATATTTGTAAAGATAATTATTAGGTAATAAAGCCAATCGATAGGGAGCGGTAAAAAAAGATAATAATAGGCAACGGTAATTAATAAGGCACAGTTACGGGACCCCTAGGTAAGTAATTATACAAGCCTGGACGAAATCCGTGGAAATTTCCATAAATTTGAGATCCAGAAGCACCAATGGTCGGGGATCAATCTCCTACAAGGCATAACTTTCCTTGTAGAGGGGGCCCAGACTTGTTTTGGAAATGCAGTACCGCATGGTCTCAAACTTGTCAAATTTTCACCCAGAGGTGTAGGCGTGGATTTTTAATACGCTCCCAAATTGCCTGAACGGCGGATAATTAACCTCACTTTCAAAAATTTACACAAAAATCAACAATCTATTTATTTTTCAGGGAACGTTCCAGCTGACATAATCACTCACTACTCTGGCTAGTTAAATTAATATAATTTTGGGCTCGATGGCCAAGAATGAAAACCAAAGTTTTCGGATTTTCGAGAGACGACCTTTTCAGTCTAACTATAAAATCCCAAAAAGAAAAGTCAAAAGTACCCCTGTGGTTCTGTCTTTCTTCCTCTGTCCAGCCCAATGAATTATAGCCAAAACTGGAATGCGCGCACATTGCCATATCTGCCCAAAAAATGAAGCCATGAAAGACAGATGCCACAAGGGGAATGTTGTTTTTTTCTGTTGCTCGCTGACATATGACGTTTTCGAAAGTTTTGTCATATTTTCCTTCACAGGTTTCATCAATTGGATTACGTGTTGGAAGCAATTTTCGCCATTTAACATAATGAGTGCGACAAAAACAGGTATCCCCTCCGCAGCAGCTGCACTAGACTTCACGTTCTTCCTTATGTGTTAGCATTCCAGTTTTTGGTTATAGTTCATTGGTCCAGCCTGTCGAAAATACAAAAATGACAGCGCTACCGGTTTTCAAAAAAATAACCCTAGTTAGGTTCGGAGTTGGAGTGGAGTGAATAAAACTAACCCTAATATGGTAAAAAGCAGTACCCGAACAGCTGGAGTGCGAATGAAGTCACTCGAAGTGTACGGAGTGAGCAAGCCGAACGCATCTCTCAATAACATAATTTTCGTTATTAGGTTAGGAAACTAGTCAGAAAAATCATAGATGTCGCCAGGTGTACGGAATAGTATTTTAAACTTAGAGCAGGTAAAAACATAAGGAGTAGGAACGCGCTAGCTCTAATAGTTAGGGAGACGACCGCATTTTTCCTACCCCAATCGAGTTATGTGTCGACACTATTATCAATATACAGGGTGGGGACTTTAACTGGAACTAATTCGCTAGAGCCTTCAGATAAAATTTGTGGACAAAACGCAAAAACACGTCGATTAAGATTTTTTGCTTATGATTTTTTCACATAACATTTTTTATACAGGGTGTTCCAAGAACAGCTGTACGGTTATCAACTTTATTTTTTTAAATAGTAACCCCTGTATATTATGACATTTCTGGATTTTGTGGAAAATTCTAGACATATTCCATGTACAATGTCATATACCTATGTTCAACTGTTTCGGAAATATCAACAGTTGAAAATTGACTTTTTTACATCGTTAACAGACTGTAAAACCTGAACGATTTTACATTTTCATCCTATTTTTTCGTAAACTATCATTGGACACCAACTGTGAATTTAATCCATGATTAAAAATTCCGTCAGCCAGTGAAAGTGAGTATTCTACGCACGGTAGTAGAAAAAAACCTTTATGAAAATGAAAAATTGGAAAAAAGAAGATAGACCATAAAATGTGTCTAAAAATTGAATTGAGCACTATTAAGTACATTCTGGAAACTTATGCAACGTTCAACCAACCTATAGACGTTACTACTAACATCAGCCGAAGAAATTTGTTTGCGAAGGTTTATTGAAGAAAATCAGAAATCATAAATAATAAAAAGAAAATTTTTGGGTTTTAATTTAAATAACATTTTGAACTTCATTATTGCTATTGAACACTTTTATCTACTGCTACCTCAACAATTGTTCAATATGTGCTCCATGTACCTCTTGGCATAGAGCCACACGATGATAAAATGCACCCTGGAGTCTCCCTAAAGTTTCTGGTGTGATTAGTCGAATTTCTTCTCTTATTCTATTTTTCAGTTGTTCAATATTACCAGGTTTTGTGACATAAATTTTAGTTTTTAAGTAGCCCCATAAGTAGAAATCCAAGGGAGTTAGATCAGGGGATCTTGCTGGCCATTCAATTACACCCCTTCTACCAATCCAC